GGACTTTTGTAAAATGTTGCAAATAAAATTTTATTTTAAATTTTGGCGAAACTTGAGATAACAAGCTTCAGATATTTCATTTGAAATATTTGTATAAGTGGACTTTTGTAAAATGTTGCAAATAAAATTTTATTTTAAATTTTGGCGAAACTTGAGATAACAAGCTTCAGATATTTCATTTGAAGTATAAGTGGACTTTTGTAAAATGTTGGAAATAAAATTTTATTTTAAATTTTGGCGAGACTTGATAACAAGCTCAGGTATCAATTAGCAATTAATATATTGTAAGCTCATTATGAAATTTCATTGGCCGAACATATGCACTTGTTAATGGATTTACATATATGTGATATGTGATATGCAATTATTATAAAATTTTCACAGGTGTTATGTGGAATCAGATTGAATAATTGGGGCGTTTTAAATGGTATTATTAATGTGAAATTTATATTTATGTAATATTAAATTGACAACTTATTAGTAGATGTATTTAGTCAGAAATTTATAAATTGTGAGGTAAATGAATATGTTAATGGATATTCAATTTTTGAAATTTTTATTTGAATTCTGTTTGAGGTTATGTTACAGTAGAATGAAGGTTAGGAATTTTATAAAGAAAGAAATGATTATTAAAATTACCTATTATATTTATATTTATGTAACATTAAATTGAGAACAAACAATATTAAATTTATTAAGAAGTTTATAATTTCTGAGGTAAATCAACGTCATAATGGATATTCAATTTTTGACATTTTTATTTGAATTCTGTTTGAGGTTACGTTACATTAAAACGAAGATAAGAATTTTATAAATAAAGAATGTGTTTATTAAAATTGACTATTAAATACATATTCGAATTCTGTTTGAAGTTACATAATTCGACACAAAGAAGTGATTAAAATTAATTACCTCTGAAATAGATAGACAACGAAAATATTTTCTTAAGAAGACCCGTTCCGTTCCTTGATCGTGTCCATACTTAATATCCGTAAAATTACTATAATTATGGTCGTAACACAAAGGAGGCAAGTAGGTATCGTCTAAATTTCAAGCACACAAAGATGTTTCTCCCCATAAAGTTCAATAATAAATTCCAAATTATACATCGTTTAAACAATTAATTTATGAGATCCACCATTTTAGAGATACGATTTTGACACATTTTCTAAGGTTCATTAACGATTCGAGTCACGTATCGTCCAATCGAAATTCACCGTGACGTACGAATAATAAATAATAATTTCCATGGAATACTCCCGCGTTCGGGTTGGACATTGTTTTAGCTATGATTATGTGGCTTGAAATTAGAGGAGGATGGTCGGCGATAAACGAACGTGAACGGGGTATTCAAGGATGGCTAATTAATCATGAAATTAGTAATTGGCGAATGGACGAAACGTGTTGCCATCGTATGGTTATTCATACACACACGCTGGTGTAATTTACTCCGACTACTTCGATGCTTTCGAAGAAATTTGTTATCAATGTGATAGTTGATAGATTGCTGACTTGAACTTCTTTCTTTTGCTTCAAAATAAACATGGTGTTTATGATATTAATGTGGTGAAGTTGCGGTTGGAAAATGTGGAAGAAAATTTAAGACTTGAGCTGGGTACTTGATTTCGAGGTACTTGATCACAAATTGTGAGGAATTTGACATAAGCTAGAATTTTTGTGGAGTAGGTTGAAAGGTTTGGGGATTTGGGGTAGGTGGGAATTGGGGGATGTGGGAATATGGGGGTT